AGCCCAGTAAGATGGTTGATAATATGAGTGAAACGCTTTTGAACATCAAAGATCGTTACTCCTTGTTGCATTCGGAACATCTCATATTCTTGAATCAAGGAATTTTTCCTTGCTCTTTTAACATCATCGGTACCTTAATGGGTTACTCTTAACATTTCCCACATTTCTTGAGCGCTCTTGCAAACTGAAATTTTATAAAATTCATCAAGAGGTAAAACAGATGAAATAATATTCCCAGCCCTAATATCATATTGAGTTTTTCTGTTTTCTTCTGTAGTCCATCTAGAAAATGGTTTAGGTACCTCTATTTCATTTTCAGTCATTATTGGAATAAACAGACCATTTACAACATCATCCCAAACACCCCTGTCAACAGACTCTAAAAATATTTGCATCCTAACTTTCCAAAAGGGATAATTTTGTCCCGCAAAAAATGGGGGTCTATTGATAGAAGCACCATTGGCAAAAGTTTGATTTGGTCCGGCCATTTTTGAAATTTTTGAAGAACTATCAAAGCAAGCTCTGATACCACTTGTTGATATCGCGCAGCGGAATGCTTGCGTGTAGGAACAAAACCAAGAGGGGGGTGAATTAGTTTAGTTATAAAAATTAGGGTTTTTAAAATTTTTCTCAAATTTCACCGATTAAAATGCTTGTAAAGTAAAAAGATAAAGGAAAAAAGATTATACAGGTAATTTATACTGGTTCGGATTAAAAACCCTACGTCCAGTTGTTAATCACTCTAAAAGAGGATTAACGTAGTCACTATAAACACAATTTACAACAGATTACAAATTGCAAAAGATAAGGATTAGAAAACACCTCTCTTAAGTCACATAAGAGATGGACACCTCCTTTGAATCCACAAAGGAAGAACAACAACTTTTCCTAGAGACGACACAACACACAATCCACCAAGAAACCCACTCAGTGATTCTTATTGCTTCTAGCCCACACTAGGTTTTCAAAAGCCCTTTTTTCTTCCCTACACAAAGTTCCCTAGAAATCACAGCTCTTAATTTTTGTATGAAAATGTTTATTTGTTCAGAGAGCCTTAGAGAACCTTAAGTAGAGAGATTTAGAGTTTGGGGAATAGAAGTTTTTGAAAATAGGAGTATTGGAAACAGGTGCATCAAAAATAGGTCCAAATTCGAAATTCAAAAATTATAACAGACGTAGATAATCGATTATCACATAGAGCCATTTTTGTAGAGGAGTAAAATCAACCGGATAATCGATTATTCCTGCAAACTTTTCAGAAAACATATTTCAAGTAGGATAATCAATTATCCTAAGTGATAATCGATTATAACAGAGTGATTTTGATAAAAAATGAACTTTCAGAGGAAGAACTATGTGCTGACTATCTTGGACTCTAATTTTACAAACTCAAAAAGATAAAACAGAGTTATTACAAATAAATACAAATGATTATAAGTCTTCAAGATTTTGAGTCCTTTGTTCTTAAATCATCATCAAAATCTTCAAGCATTGTATTCTTGTATGTTCAACAGAAAGAAATCGGGGAGATAGATCTAAGGATAGATCTTTGTCTCTTGAAAATATTATAAGGGCGTAGAAGAAGATTGTATGTTTCACAGATTTGGGAATCTTCCGGGACATAGGAATATACTATAAGGTTTTTTATCTTAGAGAAAAGGGTTTTTGAGATGTTTTTAGAAAGAGAAAAGGTGGAGTTTAACAAAATGATACCAGACTCGGTGTGATGGTATTTGGTTATCCATTTCTAACGATTTCTCTTACTTGCCTTCCACATATATTTCCTACTATCATACCCCCTTCTGAACAATGGTTAGACTCTTATACCATTTTGGATAGAGACTATTTCTTATCCAGAAGATATGAACCTCCTCGGCCACAACGGTGCCACCTCGGCTTAGAAGGTCACTCAAGTTCATATTTCTTATAAGAGCGTTCTGTGATAAAATGGTTTCAGGGATCGAAAACTTTTTGATACACAGTATCCTCATAAGAGGTAAGTATATAACATACTTGCATCTAAGGAGGGAATGATAATAAGAACTATATGTTTTATACTTTCAGAGAAGAGAAAACTTAGGGAGAGAACATTTTAGAAAGAGAACTTGTATTAATCTTCGTTGGTTCTTTTCGTTATGAGTTACAACATTACAAGTCCTTCCTATTTATAGCCAAATCACATAAGCGAAATTCAAATTTACACTAAACTAAAATGAACTTCGAACCCAAAATATCATACAAAGTGGAATTTGAAGATAAGGTTGCGACTCACACTTATTATGACCTTACAAAAAGATAAAGACAGGATAAGATATCACGAGATATCTTATAGATAAATATGATAAGATACCATATCCCTTCAGATAAAGTAAATTTGATTCGATCTCATCTTCATTAACACGTTTACGGAGTTCGCAATTGACATGTGTAAAGATAAGAGAATCTTACTTTAGTAACATGTTATGATGACAATCATTAACTAAAGTCTTTACTTTAATCAGATCCAGTAGAACCAGAATGATTCATCTGCTGGGTCTTGCTTCTTGTCATGCTTCCATGTAGTGGGTCCATTAAAAATACATTTCCTTGTGCATCATCATTTCTTCCATCAATTCTTTATTGTGATCATCCACTAAGTCTTCAACCTTTTGGAGTTCTTCTTCGGGTACATAGATCTCAATCGTTGATTTGAAGAACCCATAAGTCTTTTGGTACGATCCTATTCAAAGAATAAGAACTAAGCGATCTTTAAGATAAGCTAACAATATTGGGGTTCATCGGCTTGTAATGGTAATTGTTCATTTTACAGAGGTGGCATGCCAGTTGGGTCTTGTAACTTTCATCAAGTGGATATGTCTCAAAGTTGCTCCAAATATAGGCTTCATTTCTTGACCATAATTGACCTGCAGGATTTAAAAAATATGGACGGTGGATGATGAAGATCGATGTTAGATCTTTGAGAGAGTCTTCAGTAAATTCCCTTTGTCTTTGACAGTCTAGGATCCTCTTGAGCTCTTGTCTCCACCAAGACAATGGTGAGAACCACTCGAGTAGAGTCCAGAAGTGAAAATCTTTCTTGTAAGGATCTTTCAAGATTCGATAGGCTGCCTGTGTTTTCAATACAATAGGAATGGAATATTGAACAGTATTACACCATATGGTCCAAATAGTTGGTTCACAGAGATCCCAACCCTCGATTCACAGATTAATTCAGAAATTCCCCAAAAGGGAATATCAAGGTTAAACAAGAGGCTGAGATAATTTTGTATTTCATGGTTTCATAAAAAAAAGGTAGAAATAACGAGACTTTGCATAGTGAAAGATATCCGCTGGTGTGGTTCTTTTAATTCGAGAGGATAAATTTTGACTTTGTTAGAGAGAGGTTTGACCATGAAGATAAGAGGAAGACTATAGGTGTCAAAAATCAATTGGACAAATTTTCTTGGGTCTAGACAAAAAGTTAGGGACTATGCTTAGGTTTTCTTTGATGGGCTTAACAATAAAATCATAACTGGAAAATCAGTCCATTAGTCGAAAAATCTGAGGACTAGGAGACATCTTATTTTTTATCTCTAAGATCTTTGAAAACAAAAAAATGTTTATCTGTATCTCGAAATTATATCCTCTGAGATGGAAGTAAAATTTCTTTATTCCATTAATGACGTCCAAGGCTTCTTTGAAAGTAGTGTGGTAATGTTTCTCGACATCCTTGAATTGTCAGTTGGCATGACCACAGTAGTACCTTCTCCCATTATCTTCTTCAATTAGTATTGTTCCCCAATAGTCATCACTAGCATCTGTCTACAATAGTTTTTCGTTGCCAAGAGTCTTCAGAGTTGAGGAGTCTGGGCTACCTTCTTCAGTTCTTTAATCGCTCTGGTCCCCATGAAGGTGAATTCTTCTTTAAGAACTTGGATAATGGACTTATGTATCTAGCAACGTCAGGGTTGAATTTCCTAATGCAGTTAACTATCCCAAGAAATTGTTGGATCTGCTTGGCAGTCGGATTTTCATCCAAAAATTTAAGGAGTTCTTCAGCGATGTGAGATTGAGATTGGTATGAGCCTTAACAGAAATGCATACCCAAAAAGTCAATTTTCTTTTGGGCCAAATGAATCTCCTTCTTTGAGAACATAATCCCATGTTGATGGACTATTCCAAAAAAATTGATCCAATAATTGTTTGTAAGAGTCTATGTTTGCCGAGAACAGTAGAATATCAACAATATAAATAATCACTCTATCTAATATGGACTCAAAGATTTTTAAATGTCTAATTGTTAAAATCCGGATTTAAGGTCAAACTTAGAAAAAAATTTGGGTTTCTTTTATTAAAGTAGGTAAAGATGAAACTTTGGGTATTAAGAATTTGTCATCCTTAAAAAATGATAAGAAGTTTGTAATCAATGGCTAACCTTCTTTTTTTTTCTCTGATTTTTTTCGGATTTCTTTTCCATATAAAAGGTTTGACAAACCCAATTAGATTGGTTCGATCAAGCCTTGTTGCAACAGTTCCTAGTATTCTTGTTTTGTTAGCTATAAGTCTAATAGAGATATTCCTGAATATGTAACCTTTGTTGATTGATGTTTTTGGAAAAAGAAATGGTGAAATTTAACATAAGAGGACTAAACTAGATTGATGATGGTTAGTTATCTATCTCTAAAAAATTTCCTTACTCGTTTTCCACGTATATTTCTTACCATTTCTAAAAAATGATTAAGTTCTAATACTATTTTGATAATAATAATTCTTAAAATTCGTCACTCTAACATATGACAAAGAATATTTATCATGACTTAACAAAGCTTACAATTTCCAGTTAAGCACGCAGCTTAACCAGAAATTTCAATGGCTTTCACATCAGCCTTCTTGACCTCTTGCTTGGGAACAGGGACAGTGAGAACCCCATTTTCCATAGAAGACTTCACTTCCTGCACTCTTGCATTCTCGGGCAATCTGAACCTCCTCATGAACTTCCCGCTGCTACACTCCACGCAATGTCATTTATCCTTCTTATCCTCCTTCTCCATGTTCCTCTCTCCGCTTATTTGAAGAACCGTATCATCTTCAATCTCCACTTTCACTTCCTCTTTCGTCAGCCCCGGAAGATCAGCCTTCCAATCCACGCGGGTGCTCACAAATGCAGAATTCTCCCGGGAAAATTCGGGGAAGGAAGCAGAAAGAGTTGGGAAAAGAAAAACCCTTGAAGAACGATGCTCCTTCGACCACCGAAGAAACTTGGAATGAGTGACATCTTTGGAAGAGATTTAAAAGTTGGCAGATTGTAACGAGATATCATGTATTGTCTGCTTCCATAACTATTACAATTCAAATAAACACAAAAAACACTAGGATTCTACTTTCTACTTTAATTATACAAAATTCAATTATGATATAAACAACTCACTTCAAATTTAAGTTTCCAATATAATATTACACTTATATAAGCCCAATAACACATCACACGATTCTATTTTTAAAGACTAAATATTAAATTAAATATTAAAAATAAAAGAATAAAATGATAATTTGTATACAATAAAATCAACGTATAAAAATTAATTATCATATAAAAATAATTATATTACATATTCAATATTATTAATTTAATTAAATTTTAAAAAATAAAATTTATTTTTATCTATTCTCTTTTAAAATTTTGAATTTACAATTTTATTTATATCTTTAAATCTCAAACTAATTTTTTTATTTATATTTTAATATCAAAATAAAATATAATAAAATATCAAAATAACTAATTAATTTATAACAAATAAAAAATTAATATTTTGTTATAATAATAAACCGCACAATTACAGTACATTTAAAACTGAAACCAAAAGTACATAATGCACATCATTATAATATTTTGAGGATTTTTATGTTATATTAAAAAATGCTCTTTTTAAAAAATTTAAAAGTTTTTCATGTTTCATGCCTGAATTCCCAAATTCCTTTCATCCTATCAGTTTTTTTATTTAACAATTAAAATAATTATCTTAAATGAGAGTATTTTAAGAATTATTATTTAATTATAAACTTTTATTTAATAAGAATATTATTTAGAAATTTGCTTAACTTCTTATTTCTAAATCAAATTTTTATTTTAAACAATTAAAGTATCTATGACTAAACACAACATTATAGTATAATATGTTTTTTGGGTCGTGGCCAGCCACTTTCAACAAAAGAAACAATCCAAAACATGAAAAAAGCAAAACCACATTTGAACGGTTTCATGTTAACAGCGACCAAAGTAAAACAATTCATAGATTTTGTTTCTGGTGGAATTTCGATCGATTTCGATTCTAAGGGTGTTTTGGTCCTAATCAAAATTCTACCACGTAAGTTCTTTTTACTTAGGCTAGCAATTTGATTTTCAATCGAAAACGTGTATAAGAATCAAAAACTCCAGAATATCGAAAATGATGTTTTTGGTGTTTTGTATTTAAAGTATCGAAAGCATTAAGACTATCGAATCGAAAAGCAGAATATTAAATTGCGAGGAAATGTAAAATGCGAGAACCCCAAACTTGCATTAATTGTAAATAGCGAGAAATCGAAAACAACGCAAATATAAATGACAAGAAATCGAGATTGTAAGAAAAGTAAATGACGAGAAATTGAGATTTGCGGAATGTTAAATAACAGGAAATCTAAATGCGAAACTCAAATTTTCATTGAATTGAAATGGACAAGGAATCGAAAATACGAAACATAAAACTGCTTGAATTTAAGTTGCATCAAAGTAAATTACCAAGGAAAATACGAAGCGGTAAATGTACTCGGTGAGCAAGGAAATCCAGTTGTCGGAAGCTTCATGGTGTTCGTCGTTTCTCCGGTAGACTTTTCACTCTCGATCTCGTTCTCTGCCAATTTCGCTCCCCTCTCCTTTCCTCCTTTGCTCTATTTATAGGGCATCCTTCTAACCGAAGCGGTTAACACGACTGCTACCACGTTCTACGTGCGTATGGCGGTTTATCTTCTATAGTTTCCCACGTTCTTCACGATCTCAGACTTTTTCCCATGATTTTAAAAGCTGCTCTTTATACGTGCATTCGACTTACTTCCTTTCACGATTTGGCCAAAGTCTCGATGTCCACATTGGCTTTCCTTACTCTCGATTACGTATTTTTGGGAACTTCGAATTGCTTACGATTCCTTTTTAACCCTGGTCTTATCATGACTTAGTTTTTATTCGACAACGGTCATTTGATTATTATTCATTCGATTCTCGATTGTGCTTCTCGATGCTATATGCTATGTATTTCTAATTAGACATCGAATGAATTTTTGTTTATCTTATCGAGTCACATTTATTTCCTTCGATTTCGATCGCTTTTCTCGATTTGCCACTAACAAAATGCCCCTTTGGAAGAATATAAATGATTTACGTTTTATATTCTTTCAATATTCTCGCCTTAGTGTTTGAAAGCCCACGAGATTTAGGGTTTAGGGTTTACGGGGTTCTAGGGTTAAAGGGGTTTTAGGTTTCTTTTCCACTTTACGTCGTCGTCTCGTCGGTCTGTTGCCTTTCGAGTACAAGTTACATTAATTACCTTTCCCTTCAGTCGCTTCCAACTCCATAGACGATTTCCCTTTAACCTTTCCTTGGTCTTTACTTTGGTCTTTACGCGAATTATCACCCTCTTTACCATCTTATCTTCTCCTTTGAGCTCTCGCCTTCGTCCACTGTTACCTCATCAGTTAACTCTTCCCTTTCTGTTTTCCTAAGCTTACTCCAATGGCCACTTCATCCAAGTCTTCGATTTCTCAGTTCCACCCCTTTCCTCATTGCCTTCCAACCTGCTGGAGATTAATAACCAGAAGTTCGCTCCGGTCCCTTTGATGGAGGAGGCTTCCGTAAAATTGCTTGAAACGCAGGTACTTATCCCTTACCTCTGTTGAGGGGTTAATTTTGCTTTTGGGGGTCCACTTCGTCCTATAGATGACATTTTCTCCCTCTCAACCTCTCGATTAGCTCGGCTCTTGTACATCATCACGAGGTTAGGGTTGATTTTACGAATCTTACCTCTAAGGTATATAGAACAGGCCCTCCTTCCAAAAAATCTTCCTTCATTAGGTGGTTTGATAGGGTAAAAACTAAGTTTGGGAGCCACTGGAAGGATGTTGAAATTTTCGACTTTTTGCACATGTCTCGATGCGATCTGTCGTTTTTGGACATGGCAATGTTTCTATCTGCGGTGCACTTATGGAACAAGGATTTACATGCTTTGGAGTTGCCTTGTGGCCCACTTTCACCTACCCTTTTTGAGGTCGCGGCTATTGCGGCTTGAAACCTACGGGGAAAAGTACTTCAAGGGTACATGTCCTTCGGATAATTCTACGAAGTCTAAAATTGATTGGGAATCGAAGGCCTATGGTCATTTTCTTGAGAAGCATTTTATCGATGACCCTTCGATAGCTTATTACGATGAAGAGCACGTGACATTTTTAGTGTATTGGTTGTGTACCCACGTCTTACGCTCCGATCGATCCAAATTTCCCCCATCTTTTTGACCTTGCATATGTCACGCACATAGGCCAGCCTAGGATATGTTTGGCTAAGTTGCTACTAGCTCATGTGTATGCTTACTTTCGACGAAGTTTGTCGAAATTTTGAACACACCTAAAGCATCGGGGAACTTTTCGGGCCCGTTTGGTTTGTACGAGTTGTGGCTCACTTCGATCTTTGAGAGTGTCCTTCCTCGAATTTCTTCAGTCTCCCGAGTGTAAATATAGAAGGGGCCGATTATCCTCTCGTCACCCTCGCCATAAGTGCGATGAAACTACCTATTGTAAATACCTTCAATTTTTGTTAACCTGATTCACTTTCGACTCGACCTTGGCCCCATTTCACGTAAATCTTGGACAAACAAGTGGCCAACTTAGGGGCCGATTTGGTTTAAATCAAAATTTCATGCCTCGACTCCTGGGTTGCAATCGGAAGCGATTGATGTATGGAGCAATTATTTGACCCATGATGTTTTGGTGTCGGGTTTTCGGTCGAAGGATTTTAAGCTTGTCACCTATTACCCCGACTTTTCTCGAGACAATTTGGGTTGAGCCAATCTTTGCCTTTCTTCTCTCTCGATACCTCCCCAAAGTCCAAGTTAGCTGAATCCACAATTAGTCGGGAGCTTGTTGAGCTTTTACCAAAAACCCCGATGCACTTTTACCCTTATGCTTTCGAGTCAAATTATTTATCTACTGTGGGTTTTTCTCGATGGTGGGCGGTTGGTTCTCGAGTAGTCATGCTACTTTTGATGAAGTTCGACAAGACCGACTACTCGACCTTCTCTTGTGTTGCGGGACAAGTCAAAATCGAAGAAAGGTACACACTTCCACTTGTCTTCAAATATCTCGATTCGAGAACTTTTATCAAATATGTTATACCCCACTTGAAATTAGAATCGACCTATTATGATGTTGTTATCTCCTTATCCAATAAAACGGACATTAATCGATCGAACCACAAAATAATCAATCCTTTAGGTAGAACCCCTTTTGAAATATATTGTCCAAATCGCCTTCCTACTTTTCCCACGACTCCTTTTGGACTTGCCAAACCATTAACTCATCCAAAATGGGTTCGAGAATTGAGAACCCTCGAGGAAACACGTCGCCCAAAACCCAAAAACAAAGATATTTACGTCTCGAAATTATCTTATTTCCACTTACCTTAACCTCCACTGAGGCTCTTTTGCCTCCTCGGCTTGTACATATCGGCCAGAGTCAAGATCTTGACTCCATCACCTTTTGGTGAGATTTTCTTGCTTTCTTATACTTTTTTGATTTTGTATATTATAAGCTAATCTGTCTTCTTTTATTGGCGGTTTCGAAATCTACTAAGGTCACCGCTGTCGAGAAGGGTCAAGAGAAGGGACAAGAGGGCTGAGGATCCTCGGGTGAGTCGGACCCGTCGGCCTTGATCGAAACGCGGACGCTCGGCCACCATTCCTACTTCTTCGACAAAATCGAAGGTTCCTTTTGACTTCGTTTTGTCCTATTCATTTCTCTGTTTGATAAATCCATATTCTTATACTTATCTCTTTTCGATCTTCTATTTTCGAAACAAAAATCGAAGAGTCCTCGATCTGTTCAACCAATTGCTCTCGATCCATTATCGACGGACTCTAATACGATCCCCACGACAACACACCTACCCGTTCAAGTCACGTAAGTTTCCTTCTTTATACGAATTCTATGTTCTTAAGTCTCGATAAAATTTGTAACATGGTTTCAAAATTTGATTTTCGAGGATCTTCCATCGGAGGCTGTATCGACGAATGTCGAATCTCAACTATTAGCACCCCTCACTGAGGTATCTTATATATCATTGTATGATTGCTTTAACTTTTTGTGCATTTCTTGTTCGATAATGGTTTTCGATTCTACAGCTGACTTGAGGTCTGTCTGATTCTTCCTCCTGCCTCGGCACCACTTGCTCTACCTCCCCTGGTATTTATACTTTTCATTGTCACTTTTTCATTTCATTCTATTATGAACCTCTCGATTTACATTCTCGATTTCTTTCTTTTCGGTAAATATTCCAATAATCGAAGTTCAAGGCTCTCCTTCCCCTGTTTACGCGGAGCAAGAGGATTCTCCTCCTTTTGCGATGCCCCTATCGAGTTGCTCTCGGCGTCATTACCGAGAGATAGATGTGCACTGCTCCGAGCACTTGTGCTAGAATATCGAGCTGCAATCGAAGAAGACCACTTTTCTATCCTCGATATTCTATTATCTACAGAAGCGACACCGTCGAGCTCTTCTAAGACGCCCATGACTTCATTTGAAGGACCATACCGAGTTGAAGCAACGCTTCAGATCTTTCTTTTATTCCTCGCCCCTCGAAATTTTAGTGGAGTCGCGTGACAAGAAAAAGCGAGTTTCAAGATATTATCACGCCCTCGAGACGTGTCCGATGATGATCTTCCAATGGGTCTCGATGCGGAGGTCGCGGCGGCTGCCGATTTGTTCAATAAGGCATATGCGGCGAGGAAGAAAAAACAATCGATTTCGACCAAGCTCACCGATATTGCTTCCTTCCAGGCTGAAAAATCAAATTTCTTGAAGACTCGGAAGTTGAAGCTGGCGGAGGCATTATGCGCACAAACTTCGATCGATTGCGAGATCGAGCGAGTTGGAGAAGAGACTCGCTCAACTTAAATTGCGGAAGGATTTTGTTGCTTCGGAAATAGATACGATCAAATCCTCTGCAAAAGAAGTCGCATTAT